ACGTTATAGTGTGGGTCGGGAAACCCGCCATATTTAATTTGTTCCTATCGTTTTATTTCTTCTATGCTGGTATATGAGCGATCAAATAAGCAGTATTTTGGCTCACAAAGCAGATTTAAATCCAAGGACATTGGTGTCTGTGGAATATACAGAACATTTGACAGTGCTTTTTAGATTTTTTTTGTCCACGATCAGGACCGGAAGCCAGTATTATTTTTTGGTCCCCATTTTTCTGCAAAACTAAATCAGAAAAAGTCGTGTATTTTCACAAAGATCAGGTATTCAAGTAGGATCATATATATGCTTCAAGATGCGTAGTTTCCTAGCATACACAAGATACGCCAGACGTCTTTGGGATATCCTTGCTTGAGACACTCTTGAGAAACAATTTTGCTGTACTTTCTATCACATTTGTGACTTGTCGCAGTGAAGTGGTAATGTATGTAGCAAAATTGTGTCACATTTGTATGCAATCATATTTCCATTGATGTCCCAAAAATGGGAATAGGTTTAAAATTGCCAAACATTGTAAGAATGACTTTTCTGTATTTTTCATGTTGTTCCAATGATATTTTTACTTGTGTCAGTGAAGTGGTAGTGTTAGATGTATGTAGCGAAATTGTGCTTCCAACAAGGAAAACTAAAATGACTGATAACGTGTAAGTTATTGGGGCATTCTAAGTCAATTGAAAAAAAATTGCTGTACTTTCTATCACATTTGTGACTTGTCGCAGTGAAGTGGTAATGTATGTAGCAAAATTGTGTCACATTTGTATGCAATCATATTTCCATTGATGTCACAAAAAGGGGAATAGGTTTATAAATTAGCAACTATTGTAAGAATGACTTTTCTCTATTTTGCATGTTGTTCCAATGATATATTCTGAACCGGTAAGAGCATTTGCTTGAGTAACGATTTAGATTTTGTGTTATTCCGTACTACAATGTAGTTTGAAAAATGCTTGTTGCGGCGTTATGCATGGAGCACGGGCCTAAAAATGACCACAAGAATGGGCAACGTTTTTGTGTTGATATCGATAATCTCACAAAGTTTGTTTCAGTTCGTACATTCCTACAACGGATGAGTGAAAAATCTGTTGACGAGCGTGTCAAAAATGCAGGTTTTGCTTTGAGACAGCCGCAGACAGAGGTCAATTGGCGTCATCGGAAAACTCCACTGTTACGGAGGTAGAGGTACCGACTGTAAATTATTTATGGATTTTTGCAAATTCTAATCGTTCCCACAGCCAAAAAAATAAAAAGTACATGTGTGTATTCACTGTGATTTTTATTATTATTATATTAGGCATTGTATGATGTGATAGATTCGTAAAAATGGTATCTGACACCCCTAAAAAGCAATAGAATCACCCAAGCCCAGAATGCATTGTATTAGTTACCTTGGTTACGCATGCGTAAGCAGTGCGCATGTGCGCATATGTAAATAGCCCGCGTCACTTCAAGTCACAACGCCAGTAACAACGCCAGCGAGTACTCGGAACTCGGATTTACAAGCTTGGAGCCTGACTAGTGACCGATTTATCATGGAACAAAGGTATGGATTTTTGTCCTAATAAATGGTCAGTCGTAAGGTCGTAATGTTTGGCATAGGTCGTGATGTTTGGAAAAGTTTGGCCGTTGAGAAAGAAGCAACGAAACATTTCAGGACATACAACCTTATTTACTGCAGTGGTAGTTTCGTGAATTGGTTAAAAATGCTGTGATTATTCCGAGGGACTTGCCATGACGGAAAGAAAAATCTGAGAGAGGACATAAAAGTAGAGATAGTGTACATATAGTAGATATTCTAGGAGGGAAAAATGTAATTGTACCGAGGGAAGTATCTTGCTTAAGAGGAATTAAAAATGCAGAGAGAGTAAATATCTNGTTACAATATAATAACCGATAGTAAGTTGGGCTCATTTAGTCGAATTCTCAACGATTTTTGTTCGAATCGCAAGCTTTTGCAACTAGTTCTAACCAATACACCTGGAATGTAAGATGTGGCTGAAATATAGTTATGTTGGCTTGACACCCGTGTACTTAGTTTTGAAGTTGCACAATGTGTATTGCAGCTCGACCTTGAGAAAAAGTGTAATTTCTTTACAGTTTCTTTGCCTTCAAAAATGTTCTGTTAAAAGTTATATAGAACAAAAATGAAAGTGAAAGAATATCGACCAAATAGTATGCTTCAAAACGATACCCACTTAACGGATGAAAACAGAAGAGAAGGAATTTGGACATGAACAAATACAACAACAGGTTGATTTGTCATGACCTAATTTTTGAAGGAGAAATCGGACACTATGACCTGTTACTGTAAATATACAAACATCGGGCATATGTGCTGACATTGGTATAGTTGCACAAGAATCCCACTTTCTCTAGCGTCTTCATGATATAAGTCTGACTTGGAATGGGTTTCGTAAAGTCTGTTGTAATGAAAAAACTTAGATTCCTTCTTTTCTATGAACTTTCGCAAACAGCGGTTGAAAGTTGCAACATTGTTGGCGGCGCGAAAAATGGAACGCGCTGCCTTGGTTCCATGGATCGAACGCAAGAGTTCGAAACCGATTGCTTCAAATTTGACGATTTTTGAATGGTCAGAACCTTGTATTAAATTCCTCTTTTTGTATATACTTGAATGGTATCATACCACTTATTATATTGCATGTGGTAGCCACATTCATACAGTTTTTCATACCAAGAAACGAATCTTATGACATTACGCGAAATGTATCAAAATGTAGCGGAAACTCAGGATGGTGTGTGTCAGTAGCTTACAACTGGGCTAAAAGTTGACCACCACGATGTGCGCATCGTCACAGTTTTTTGGGGGCAAACCCGTTTGCCATAAAATTTACCAGGGGTCTTTGGCATCAATGTAAAGGCGAAGAAGTGGGCTATCACACTGTGGTATTAGCTAATGGGATCCAGTTGAACAGCAAAAAAGACAAGCACAAATAAAGTGACCAAAAATTGCTAATGTTTCGAAGGCCGTAGCGCTAGCTGTTATTTTGCAATGCACGAAATATCTACCTGGTTGTACACGGCAAAGCCTGCAGATATGAAAAAGTATAAACATCATGTAGGTCTGAGGTATTTTTGTTACACTATAGGCAGTTGTTTACACCCATGCAACGGGGTCAAATCGTGACCCGGCAAATGCCGTATCTTAGAGAATAACGCGTTCTACGGTGACCTGCGGTTCGACTGTAGAGGTCAATAACAGAAAAATCAATGTCAAAGGTCACCCTGTTTGGGCAGAGTTAAATAATATACATTCAAGTGTCTACTGCTATGGGGCCGGTGAGTGGGTGAGTGAGTGAGTGAGTGAGTGAGTGAGTGAGTGAGTGAGTGAGTGAGTGAGTGACTGAGTGACTGAGTGAGTGACTGAGTGACTGAGTGAGTGAGTGAGAGTCATCTTTACCAGAAAAGTAGGACTTAGTTGGCAAAATTTGCCAATAATTTTTTTTCTCATAATTTCTAAAATATATATATGTACAAAGTACCTTTTTTGCGCATGTTGATTGACTGGACTCATCCTCCACTTGCCACAGCGCTGCCTGATGAGTCTCCGCATCTGGGCACAGCGGATAGTGGGGAGGGCCTGAGTCGGGGACGGGCTACCACAGGCCCGAACACGCGCGTAACCTCTCCGCCCACCCACCGCCATTTCCGGAATTCAGGGATCGTTCATTTTTTGTTAGAGGGGGTGTTTTCTAATCAAACGTAGATCGCAAGGATAAGACGTTCCGGCCGCTAAACGTATTGTGCTATCACTGAAAAGGGTTGACGGCCGGAGCTTCTAATTCGTGCGATCTACGTTTGATCAGACCCCCCCCCACCCACACACACAAAAGACAGATCCCTGAAAACCTAGGAAATATAAGGAAGCTACCGCTGTCTTAGGAGTTTGGCTCCCAGTAGGGTTGTCTTTTTGTGCTCATCATCCTTTATCCAAAGCTGCAAAGAGCATTGCGAAGATTGCAATTAACTGGAGCACAGATAAACACCGAGATGAGACGAGCAGCTATGGACCTCCCTCCCATTCCCAGCCAATCTTGTTTTATACATATGTCAAAAATGTCTGTTGCTCACACTGCCAATCAAGTCACAATCTTTGTCGAAATTTGAGCTGTTGAAAACAGAGGTATATCTGATAATAACTGGCAGGAATTTCGTGCTTTAGACGCTAGGCATTCCGATTGAAATAAGTAGTTTTATTAGTGCGCAATTTAGTTGCTTATTTCGTGCTGCTGTATTAATTGGATGAATGAATTATTAAGTATAAAGACTTGACTCTACCGATCAGAAACGTTTAGAATTACAACCGAACACGGGACAGACAAGGAGGCGCTGTAGATGCAAGTAGGATGTTTCATATTTTATATTCCATACCTCGACCGTAATAAGTACAAAATTATATCTCCTCCTCACCTCACCTCACCGGTCCCATAGCAGTCTGTCCTGCTTATTATCATATCTACAAAGTATGTATTTGGATATATATATATTTACTAGGTTCCTAATACAAGCCCAGAAAAGAACAAGAAATAGTCATGCCAGAGTTATCAATCAAGGATTGAGGTGTTCAAAAACTTATTCTTTCCTAGAACTATCGCAGAGTGGAACTCCCTGTCAGCAAGTACAAAAGGAGGATTATCTTTAACAATGTTTATACTTAGATGTTCATGATGTAAATTATAGCTTTATCCTATTTAGACTCGATTTCGATTAACACGGGTGGCTTTCAAGCAAAGTTTGATTTTTGTGTGCATGTGGGGGAGGGGTGTTCAATATGTTCACACATACTTCATACGCTCATAAACATCGCCTTTTTAATAATTCGTGGCTTAGCATGCCAAAATGCTGAAACAAAAGCTCTAGTGTTGCCCTTTAATATGGTGCGGGGATCCTACGTTCATCGGAATAGATCGTTTTGTTTGCATATCTGTTTGCAGTAGTAGCGAAAAGAACTTCTCAAAACAGATCCAGCTATGCGCTGGTTTGTTGGAGTAATTCTCTTAGCGTCAGCGTGGCACCACCTACCTACAGGACAGGCTCAGGAACATGGTAAGTACGAGTTTACTTACCTTCAACAAGTAGGTTATCATATGTTTCCGGTTGAGTCATGGTAAATAGATTTGCTCTTGGTTTGTATTTATCTAATAGTATATCTCGAGAAGCTGTTAATAGATATTCATGATATGGTAGATAAGTAGCTATTGTTAAAGCGAAGTTCATAAAGTTTGCCTGTTTTCGTAGTACGCTACTGTAGCCGATTGTGTATGTTTGTCGACAACATAACTTATGAAGCTGTGGATGCATGGTTGCTAATTATAATTAGTGGATGGGTGGGAGTCAAGAAGAGGAAGGTCATGTTCTTAGCGGGTACCTACGGTATTTCAGCGGGCCTTCAAAGTTTACAGTATTTTTTTGTTCTGCAGGTGCCAGCTTTATAATATTATTTAGTAATAGAAAGATTTTAAGGCTAGGAGTACGCGAAATACGTTTGGGTCCCCTAGGAGCTTATTCTGGAACTGTAGATACTTTGGAAAAAAAGTCATTGAAGGAGGATTTCTACAAAATAGTAGACATTCCGAAATTAGACGGCGCCGTATTAACTTGTATACAAAATAGACTTACTAATAGGCTCTGTGTATAGAACTGGGCATATAACTGCCAGCCAAGGTCTCAAGGTACCAGAACATGGCAAGCCACGCTGTTATTTCTATTGTACTTTATATTCTGAGTTACTAGTAAATATAACTTCTAATATCTTTGATATGTCTCATTTCAAAAGTGTCTTGAAGAGAAATTTTTACTTGGCAAGCTAAACTGTCAAGACAAGCCTGACAACTGACAGGCCTCCCCCCTCCATGTACAGTGCACGGATGCCAGGACAAGACTGAAGTCTGGTAGTTTATGTTATCGAATTTATATCGGCAGGGTGGGGTCATTATGTAGTGTAACTGGCCTAGTTAAAGAAGTTTATGGCAAATACAATTGGGAGAGGTGGTTGTACGAAATTTCGGATGAGGAGGGAGGTGAGTTTTTGATTCAACCATTATCCCCTTTATATTTAAAATTTGAACCCACTGAAACGCAATTTCCTGCATTTCTAGCTGAAAATTTTGCTGGTACATAGAGCTAAATTTATTCTGTCCATTAACATACGTTTAGTCCAAGAACTCCTTTCACATGTCTGGACATGCTAATTATCTCAAAGTGGGAAACAATGCTTGAAATCTACTATCGACGGGCAGTTTGAGATCAAACAAATAAGTCTGTCGTCCTTAACCCTAAACAGTACACCTGGGGACCCCAGCACTATATATTCTGTAATATCTTTTTTTGTTTCTAAAGATTTTTTTCTGAAATTTTAGGTAATTGTCACCCTCACCGACAAAGTTGTCTCTTAATACAGTGCAGAAAACTCCATTGCTACCATTTATAAAAAAAAAAATTATATCTGATTTTCTTTTGGGGTCCGCGCGGACCCCAGCCGGCTTTCGATCATAATGGATACACTGGCGTTCTTATACATTACCTTATTTCCGTTTTTATATGTTTTTATGCACTCATCGTATGTCTACCAAGTTTGCAGAAAATGGTGTAGTAATAGAATTAAATGTTAATAACTTTGGTGTAATTATGACGTCATATGACGTCAGAGCTAATAATATAGTCCGCAATATTGAATTTTGACCAATGACGTCATTAAATTAGCATATTCTATGCATATTAAATGATTTAACTTGTATTTATTTATGTAAGATGTTATTAATGTTGGAAAAGAAGTGTAATTTAATATAAAACTCAGAACATTTTTATGTTTAAACCAAAATTACTTCTATTTTCAAAAAAACTGCCTGCAAGAAACCCGTTGCCATGGCAACACAAAAAAAACATCTACTTACTAGTATTAAACTAATATGAACTTTTTCCAGAGACATTTTAGGAAAGGTCTCCAAATTTGATACTTCTAGCGCAAGCCGTTTAGCCGCTAGGTGAGATCAAAGTTGGGCCTCAAAAGCCCCTTCAGTCTGAAATGGGTTTAAAAATCGGGTATTTCTTCTTGTCTTCTTTTCTTCACCAAAAAATAGAAAAAGTTCGAAATGTATGATTTATGTATGTAATGTGGACACAGAGGTTCCCACATCAGTTTGCAAAGCAATTGAGCTGGTAGCATGTTGATAATTTCTAAAAATTAGCAAAAACTGTTATGGGGTCCGCGCGGACCCCAGGTGTACAGATTAATCAGTCCGGGAAGGTGTACTGTTGAGGGTTAATGAGATTTAAACGGCTCATAACGGATCAAAGTTGAAGGTCAAGTAGTAATGTCAAAGCTACCAATCTGCAACGGCTATCATATCAAGATATATTCCACAGACACCCAATTAAAAAAAAAAAACATCAGAATTGGCACCTTCTTATTATTATATTATAAGGGATTACCAAAATCTCATTTGGCCCATAGACTTCTTCGTGTAGGTATTATTTTGGGCCTATGTGTGTATGTGTGAGTGTGTGTGCGCGTGTGTGTGTGTGTGTGTGTGTGTGTGTATGTATGTGTGTGTGTGTGTGTGTGTGTGTGTTATGTTAATGTAGGGTCATTTGCATAATTTATATTAAAACCTGGCCAATGTATAGGGCTTTTTACATGAGAGTTTTATGTATTTTGAGTTTTGAGAAAACCATATAGAGTAAATAATGTATATCGTCACATCTCCATGATACATGTGTAGTTGAGAAAAATCCCAAAACTAAATGAAATTAAAAAGGCGCTAAAGTAGGTATGAGGTTTCCGAACTCTTTTTAATTTTTTTTTATTTTTTTATATATATCACAATTCTTGTTTCGGTATGTTTTCCTCCATATCTAGGTGAGTGCGGCGGCTTGGTAACCCAACAATCGTCAGGCTTCATTGACTCCCCTAACTACCCCGGTCAGTACGGCAACAACATGTACTGCGTGTGGACTATAGAGGTCGACTCTGGAGACGTGGTGAAGTTAACACCAGTATCCTTCAGGATAGAGGCTGTCTATGACTGGCTCCATGTTTACGACAATGAAACGTTGTTGGGACAATACAGCGGTACGTTGTTGAAATAGACTGTACAATAGCCAAATGTAGACCTAGAATTGTTCTTGTGTTTCATGTCCCACTTTTGTACGTAATTGCCTTGTGCATCTCTTGTAAAGTCCACACAATTCAGCAGTACTACGCACCCCTGCTATGTTGACTGTTTTTAATAAAATTGAAATCTATACGTGAATGATAGAAAATACAATATACATGTATTATACATACGGAAATGTTGCGAGGTTAGCTACTGTTCGTCTGTGCCAGCTAAATGTTTTCAAGTGTTTCAAAAATTGTTTGGGAGGGACCAGCAACGATATATTTTGGTGCTTTTTTTTTAGATGATTTTTTCCTGGGCAAATTTTGCTCAGAAAGGCCCAGTTTTCTGGTAAGGACAGAAGAATGTATATTTTTGAAATATGGCCAAAAAGTGTGACCTTTTCCATGGTTTGACCTGTCATTGACCTCTAAATACTTGTTCTCTGTATGGACTGTCCTACTTTGCCGGGGGTGAAATTCCTGGTATTATTTCAACATTTTAGCTGTAGCTCATTTAAAACCCCAGAGTTGAACTTTCACTTTTTGTACCAAAAGACACCTGACAAATCCAGCTTTGCAGTGGGGGTAAAGAATTGAGGTTTGAAATAAAGATACATATGTTTTAAAGAGCTTGTTTCTAGTGGTTTTAGCACGGATTTCAATGGAATGTCCTTATTCTGGTCCCTTCCCAACATGTTGTGAGGACGGATGGTTATGCTATGGTTGGCTGATGGTGGGCTGGTCTTTAGGCGTAGGTCAGCAGTTTTCAGGGTGGGGGTCATGTTTGATTCAAATTCAAGTTTAATTCGTTTCTATAAGTATAGAAAAACAGGCGTGGAGTACATTTGACCAGAGTATAGCTAAAGCCCTGGCGTCAGCCGACCTTGGTTTACTTCATTTACTTTATTTCTAAACAGAGCGTTCTGAGAAGCATTAACCCTCAACAGTACACCTTCCCGGACTGATTAATCTGTACACCTGGGGTCCGCGCGGACCCCAGAACAGTTTTATGCTAATTTTTAGAAATTATCAACATGCTACCAGCTCAATGGTTTTGCAAACTGATGTGGGAACCTCTGTGTCCACATTACATACAGAAATCATACATTTTGAACTTTTTCTATTTTTTGGTGAAGACAAGAAGAAATACCCGATTTTTAAACCCATTTCAGACTGAAGGGGCTTTTGAGGCCCAACTTTGATCTCAGATAGCGGCTAAACGTCTTGCGCTGGAAGTATCAAATTTGGAGACTTTTCCTAAAATGTCTCTGGAAAAAAGTTCATATTAGTTTAATACTAGTAAGTTGATGTTTTTTTTGTGTTGCCATGGCAACGGGCTATTTTTTTGAAAATAGAAGTAATTTTGGTTTAAACATAAAAATTTTCTGAGTTTTATATTAAATTACACTTCTTTTCCAACATTAATAACATCTTACATAATTAAATATAAGTTAAATCATTTAATATGCATAGAATATGCTAATTTGATGACGTCATTGGTCAAAATCCAATATGGCGGACTATATTATTAGCTCTGACGTCATATGACGTCATAATTACACCAAAGTTATTAAAATTTAATTCTATTACTACACTATTCTCTGAAAACTTGGTAGACATACGATGAGTGCATAAAAACATATAAAAACGGAAATAAGGTAATGTATAAGAACGCCAGTGTATCCATTATGATCGAAAGCCGGCTGGGGTCCGCGCGGACCCCAAAAGAAAATCAGATATAATTTTTTTATAAATGGTAGAAACGGAGTTTTCTGCACTGTATTGAGAGACAACTTTGTGGGTAACAATTACTTAAAATTTCAGAAAAAAATCTTTAGAAACAAAAAAAAATATTACAGAATATATAGTGCTGGGGTCCGCGCGGACCCCAGGTGTACTGTTTAGGGTTAAAGTGCCTAATATATTCTGATTAATTCGCAATTACTGCTCAAACGATGAATACTTCATACATTAGTAATTGAATGAACATGATTTTAATATTCTTTAACTGCACTGAATGTTAACATTATTCATGACAGCATATGTTACTAACTTGGTTCTCACATCTAAACAGGGCAATTCTTTCCACCGGAAGTGGTTTCAACATCCAGCATCATCCACCTCGTCCTCATCACTGACGAGTCATTCACCGAGGAGGGCTTCAGGATCCACTTTGAGGGTAATGATGACACTTTTTTTTATATTTCAACATGTAATCACAAGACGTGGTGACGGCACACTAAAGTTTTTTCAACTTACATTAATGCCGCTACTACAAAATAGGGGGCAATATAATACTAATTTTCACCTGAGCAAAGTGAGGAAAGTCGTGTAAAGTGCCTTTCCCAAGGACACAAGATCGTTGGCATGTCAGGACTCGAACCCGGGACCTCTTGATTCCGAGCACTCCCCGCTACGCCACAAGACCCTACATAATGATGACACTTGCTTGTACAATTGTGAAATTAGGCCATGTTGATTTGATTATATGGATGACATCCTCCGGGAGCCCCAAAACTGATGCGCGCGTGCGAATAAAAAAAAGTTTTGCAAAAAAAAAGTTCTTTTCATTATGAAATCTACGTGGTCATGAGGGTTGAGCAAATGGCATAGAATATGGTTTGGCGAATAATCTAGTCTCCAAGTTCATTCCTTTACAATTTCGTCTTTTTTGTTTGATTTCGGCATTCTACGACATTGGTGTAGTTTTTATTCCTTTTTTTTTGTAACTTATGGTATATTTTTGCTCATTTTGCAACTGTTTTGTATGATTTACAATATGGTTGAAAACTTTTTTTTTTTGGAAACGGCCGAAAATTCATGCGCGCGCGGATGTCATCCATATAATCAAATCAACATATCCTTATTTTAACACCATACTGTATCTCACAAGCTGATTCGGTGTCTACCTCTACTCCACAAGGAGGCGGGAGAGGTCAGAAGACATGCACGAGCCTTGATCTTGTCTTGTGTTCTCGCGAGACTAGGTCACTCCGTGATCAAGAAGTACAGTAGACATAAAAAATCCGGAGGTACCAAGGAAGTTTTTATTCATAACCTCCTTGGATGTATGTATGTTTACCTTAATGAAAGCACCACTGATTCAGAAATATTTATTTAAAAACTGTAAAACTCTGTTTTATACATCCGTAAATGATTTCATCATGTTGTTAAACGAATGAATAGCAAAGTTCTTTGATCACAACCGTTTATTTTTCACTAGCTGACATTTCGATGACCGTCTGTCATCCTTATCAGGGAAATTCTGACTGGTTTACTGTGCACTGACTCTAGATGTTACTCGGTGCATAGTGCACAAAAGGTGTTACATAGTTCATGGTGCACTTAACCCTACCTAGACCGGGCTTTTTTTGGACATGGGGGGACCCCCCTAAGAAGTCGCGAACGGTATGTCGTATGACCACTAAATTTTCAGAGAATGGTGTACTATTAAAAATTTATCATATCTACAATTTTTTGTCGTTATGACGCAATATGACGTCATTATGACGTCATTAATGCGATTTTATTGGCCAAAACGGTCTAAAAGGGTTTTGCCCTGAAAACTAAATGTTATTCAACATAACTGTACCAAAAGTGTTTATGACAGAATATTATGGTGTACTCAGTCTTATGTTGCCCATAGCAACACCGATGACGTCATAAAATGACGGCATGCATATTTAAGATAACCGCCATCTTGGATCATAAATCTTAAAATTTTCAAAATAGTTTTTTTTTTCATGATAAAGCCTAAAATACATTGTAAACATACTAAAGACCTTCATTTAAACCTTTTTTGGAAAAAGAAATGGAAGTATTAATGAAATTTTAATGAAAATAACCTGTATATACCTGTTCTAATGATATGGTCCGCCATCTTGGATTTTGGCCAATGACGTCATCAAATTAACATAAATTATGCATATTTAATGATAAAATTTACATACAATTATATGGGATGTTATTAATATTAGAAACCATGAGTAACTTGACATAAAACCCATAAAATTCTATTGTTGAAACAAAAAGTACTAAATTTAGCAAAAAATGCCTGTCAGAAACCCGTTGCCATGGCAACACAAAAATTATTATCTTATTCCAATGATAGAGAATTGTTGCCAACAATATTCTAGGAAAAGTCACCAGGTTTGGCCGTTCCAAACGCTAGGCCGTTCAGACGCTAGGTGACATCAAAGTTGCAGCGGGCACTTTTAGCCCCCCCCCCCGGTCTAGGTAGGGTTAAGATAGCTTTTACTGTTTAGTATAGCTCAGATAGCTTAGTATTGTCAGTTAACAAATTTTATATTATATATAGAAACACTTTACATTTGAAACCGCATATTTCCCTATGATGTAACAATGCCTAGTATGTATGTCACAATTACACTACGTTCCGGAATGTATTGTAAACAGTAAAAACTAGCTTAAGTGCACTGTGAACTATGTAACACCTTTAATGCACTATGCACCAAGTAACATCTAGCGTCAGTGCACAGTAAACCAGTCAGAATTGCCCTGATGAAGATGACAGACGGTCATCAAAACGTCGGCTCGTGAAAAATAAATGGTTGTGATGAAAGAACTTTGCTATTTATCTGTTTCATACAGTATTGACCTTGAACATGAGCAGCAGTGGGTGTCCGGATCCGGGTGTTCCAGAAAATGGCTACCGGGACGGCGAGAACTTCACAGCGGGGTCGGTCGTTACGTTTGGCTGCCATGACGGCTTCATTCTGACGGGTCAGGAACGCATCATGTGTATGGCTGGTTATAGAAGAGACTGGACCCCCAGCCCTCCTACATGTGAAGGTACGACATTTACGCTAGCAGAAAAATTTACAGGATAGCATGGCATTATGAAAAATTTAAACTGTTCTCCAACTCAAAATTTGACTCCCCGGAATTTTCGACTTAATCATTCAGTCTTCCTCAGCTATCTGACCCAAATGCTGTGGACACGTGATTTTTCCCGCGTGTGACGTCAGCAAAGGGTCAAAGGTTGTTTGAAGTCGATATCGCCCCCCGTCCCGGTTGAGCGATGATTGAAGTGCCCTTTCATGCTGAGGATAGCATGACTGTAGCCAGGATTTTGAATAGTAAGGGGGGTTCCTACCACTGTCTGTGGGACCGGCGAGCGTGCGGTCCCTAGGGGGGTCCTGGGACATGCTGCCATGGAAAATTTTGAAAATTGAACCTTTATTCTTCCGCATTACTAAATTATCTAACAGAATTAGTAAACACGTATCTTCATGTGGAGAACTGGAAAAACAATTGGACATGGCGAAGACTTCTAAATTGTCACTGTTATAAAAAAGGAGATTGTCTTTGATTAAATTTGAATATTGGTTTCTTGATGTCTAACATTAATCAATATACTATTATTTTAACAAGGAAATTGTTACACAAAAGCAACTGACTACGTTATAAAAAATTCGGAGACGTTTTCATCAGTGACTGTCAATGAAAATGAAGTTAGTGGATGCTACTTGATAGTTATGGCAGTTTTGAAAACAGATCAATTTTCTTGATTTGATTGATTGATTTGATTGATTGAAATTGCAACAGTGCAATAAACGTGGAACAGAGGCAGCTCTTGCTGGTGTTGTGTCCTGCACATAGAAACGAATACTGGACAGACACTACTCATTTTCACTTGAGTCTAGCGGGGAAAGTCGTGTAAAGTGCCTTTACCAAGGACACAAGATCGGTGGCGTGTCAGGACTCGAACCCGGGACCTCTTGATTCCGAGTCGCGCACGCTGCGGTTGCGCCACACGACCCCACAAAGTTTGCCAATTTGCTTGAGTAATAATTTTCTTGTTCCTCATTACCCCATCGGGACGTAAGGATGTGTAACCTTCATGATCATTTTTCAAAAATCTTTCTACCCACAAACAGACTCAGCCTGCAGTACAAGACGCTATCTGTACGGAGAGGAGGGAAATATCACATCTCCACGTGATGTGACCAGAGGAACATACCAAAACAACGTCGACTGCACGTAAATATTCTACTCCAGTATTATCAATGCTATTAACCCTCAAACACCCAAACTTTTTTTGTGACGTTAATGCCCGAACGGGGTCCAAATGGACCCAATTTGGTTTCTTTCAAATTTATATTCCTTTTTGCATTCTTTCAGTGACCTTTGCACATATATTGGATAAGCATAGTAAGAGGTATAGTTTGGCATGATTAAGTATTTAAAAAATTCCAACACATTATCATAATTTATGCAAAAATAGGATGAGGCCTGCAGGCATGAACATGGGGTTGACCTTTGTCCTCATATGGTTGTCAAATTGTCAAACCTCTGAAAACCTGATGAAATAATTCCTGAGGTGGAGGTTTCATGGCAAACTGCATAATATTAAAGCAATAATGCTTCATTGAAGACATATTTAGGAAATCCGAACAATTTTGTGTGTAGGAAAGTTCAAATACATGTCAGGGGTCCGTTTGGACCCCAGACGGTCTTGCATAAGACTTCCGTTGTTATCTTTATAAATTTGTGCCGATCTCCAAAAAAATTTAGAAGAACTTGTAGAAGATGTTTATTGACAAAGTCACGGGAGGAATTTTTTTTCGAATGAAAAAATTTCAAATAGCACATAAAAATACACGCCTGGGGTCCAAATGGACCCCGTTCGGGTGTTTGAGGGTTAACGTACAACTTTACCATGAAACAAAAATAAAGACAACGTAGATAGAACTAATTAGCAGAGACTCCTTATCGATAAGAAGTGTTAAACAACAATCATAGTATTACATTGATTGAGGATACTTGTCTTATTGTCTTATGCGTCTTAAGAAGAGAGAAGAAATGTGTAAAACATAGATGTAGATATAACACAGCATAGTTCTCTTTTCCCCCATCTGCAGCTAACGTACTGCATTGAGCCCCATCAGGGAATAAATATACAATATAACTTCATTATCATCGTTATTTTGAGCTAGGGTCATTATTAGAAAATTCACTTTCTACATTGGATGGAAATGTTTTAACTAACCCATTACATAACGCCAAAAAAGTATAAGTTTTGACGAGGATGGATTTATTTTGGTTATCAAATCGGAGTAATAATATATAAGTCCGGTTTAGTGTGTTAGACACGTTAGAAACTACTGACATGTCAGATTTTATACAAATGGATCAAAAGGATCCTGATTTTATAGGTGCAAATTCACAGGCGAATAAAAAAATGTCTTATCTCAGATAAAAGGCTACTGTAGAATTTGCTAAAATTTATGTAAATGAGGCCGTGGTCTGCATAATTCATATATTGTTAAATGTCTTTAACCTTAAAATGCGCAGGAATAAACTCACCATCATTTGCCGCCACAGGAATCAATTACAAAAATTAGGTCTGCATTTGCATCATTCACATCTTGTAATTGAAGCCCTTAATTTTGTTCAAAACGTAGACTAGCCCTTTGTTTCAGTAAAAAATATTGTCCACTTTTTATCAGCTAAAATCCCTTTTCTCCATATACGTAATTTTGATTAATGTGAACCATTCAGAATCACGAGACTAGAAGTGTTAACACCAACAGCAATGTTTATTAAAAAAAACGTCACGCGACTCACTGATATGTCCACTAGTACAATCACTTGACTACTTCAGTCCAATACCAATTTAGAACAAGTCAATTCATAGAAAATTGCAAATAAAAGGTAACATATGCATGTGTTGACTAACATGTTTGTAACCGTTGAACATATTTTTCCTGCAATTGTGGACAAGAAAATTTCTTTTAGAAATGGACCTGTCTAGTGGTCGTGTTTCAAAATCCTGACCAGTTTTTTTTTTCTTCATTGCTCTAAAATAATTCACGGATGAAACGGTGTAAACCGACGAGAAATAATCAACATGTACAATTAACTTGAGCAGCAATGATTTGAAAATATGAAATAACTACAAGCACTGTTACGAACATAAAACCATGAAAATCTTTATTTTTAAAATTTACACAGCTACTGGTACATACAATGTGCTTCTGAATGCTCTTTATATAGCAGCCTCTCAAAATGTTATTGCGGTCGTGCTGATCCCTACTGCACAAGCTACACGGCAAAATTCCTGGGTGCAAAAAACAATAAAAATGATTCTTTCAGAACGAGAACCTGATAATAATGACCTCAAAATGTTGACCCTCGAATGATGAACAGGACAATTGCATTTCGTAACGATGGAAAGATGAATGCCCGTGAAGATAGCTGCATTTTTCAACGTTGGGATGTTGAGTAAGTGTACAGCTGTATTTTTGTAACATTGGGATGTTCAGCAAGTGTGGAGCTGTATTTTAAACGTTAGGATGTTGGTGAGTCAAAGTCAAAGACGCTGGGAAGTGAGGCTAGTGTGGATCTGTATTGTTTTTTATTATTGGGATGTTGACCAAGTGTGGAGCTACATTTTTACCATTGTGGGAAAGTGTGGAGCTGAAATTTTACTGTTGTGGATAAGTGTGGAACTGCATTTTTACCATTGTGGGAAAGTGTGGAGCTGAACTTTTACTGTTGTGGGTAAGTGTGGAGCTGCATTTTTACCATTGTGGGAAAGTGTGGAGCTGAAATTTTACTGTTGTGGGTAAGTGTGGAGCTGCATTTTTACCATTGTGGGAAAGTGTGGAGCTGAACTTTTACTGTTGTGGGTAAGTGTGGAGCTGCATTTTTACCATTTTGGGCAAGTGTGGAGGTCTGGGGCTGTATTTCTTAACGCCGGGATGTTGGGCAAGTGTGGAGTTGTATTTTGAACCCTGGGATGGTGAACATGAACAGACAGACATGTGTGGAGTCGCATTCCTTAACACGGGGATGATTGGGTAAGGTACTAATACTGCCTAAATGCTTTGGCGGCGATGGCCTGTCCTGTTCAAAGACTGGTTTATTCTTGGGTGTAAGACGTCTCTGTTGATCGTTTTTGACCTGTAAATCTGACCTTTGCTATCTTGCTGGCATACTGTTAGTACATCATCTATAGATTCGGTGATGGGCATATGGTGGGTTTGTTGGTACGACATGTTTGTACGTGTTTTGTTGAATCCCGGTGTGTGTGCGGCCTGGTACCTCACGTTAGCGCGCTGTGTGGCCGCCATCGACCAGTGAGCAGCTGGGTTATGATACAAGGTTCTCCTCTGAACTCTGCCCTGTGGTCTCCCATACTTACCGATCATACCTAGATCTCTGGCTCGGTATCTGTTAGCTGAGCGCACTTCATACTGTTTAACGTGTGCCATTCTCTGACGTACAGGTATCTGTGGGTCTGATCTGACTCTAAGGAGGGTTCCATACTGTCTAACGTGTGCCATCCTCTGGCGTACAGGTATCTGTGGGTCTGATCTGACTCTGGGGAGAGTTCCATACGGTCTAACGCGTGCCGTCCTCTGACGTACAGGTAGATGTGGGTCTGATCTGACTCTAGGGAGAGTTTCGTACGGTATGGCGTGCCCCATCCTCTGACGTACATGCTGGTAATTGTTTCGGGCTGCTCTCATCAGAGGAGCTGTGCCGTATCCTGGATGCCTGCGGCCCTGCCTGGCTGGTGAAGGAAGGACCACCTCAGCTGCAGCGGCGTAGAAGCGTACAGTGTCATCATCATCATTGCGTTGGCCGGCTGTAGGGGGGAAGGATTTGGGCCGTGTGTTCTCATAGTTGAAGTAACTGTCTGGGATCTCGCAGTAAGGATGCTGCACCTCCTGTCGTCTTGTGTTGTAGTAATCGTTGTAATCATCTGGGATTTCCCAGTAAGGATGCTCTACCCATGGACGTGTGTTGTAGTACTCGTTGTGATCTGGGATTTCCCAGTAAGGATGCTGTACCCATGGGCGTGTGTTGTAGTAGTTGAAGTACTCGTCAGGAATTCGGCTGTACTGCGGGTCATCACCTGTACATTGTGTATCCTGTGTGCCCGTGTCTGTTTCTGGGCCTGTCGTGTCCTGATGACTGACGCCCACAGCTCGGCTGTTTGCTCCACTGATCATCCAGTGGCTCGTGGAGATGACAGCCAGCGGGGGGCCTTGAGCCTGTGCGGCATGGTGGCCCAGTGAACCACACCGCTTTCTGATAATACATGCTGCTATAAGCAGTGCTACCAGGACAACGCTTGCAACAGTTACTACCGTGAAGATTCCCACACCGCCCGGCAGGGGTCTGCCCTTCCCTCGCTGTTTCGGTACCGTCACTGCTGGAGTTTCGTTAGTGCTGGTCTGATCCAGGATGACCTTTGTGGTTGGGTGGGTCTGGAGCTCCCCTGTAGTTTGTGTCTCTGTCGTCTTTTCTTTACACACGACGCCACTAGAAGTGCTCGACACGGGTACGGAGAAAATGTGTCGGTGCATCTCGCTCCTAGCTTTGAGAAAACACGTCAGATTCTTCATTTCTTCATGACCAAAGGCACTAATGCTATGGTTGACAGAATTCGTATTTCTGTGCACACCCGCCGAGACATCGGAAATGACCACAGCAACAATCTGAGGTTTGTTATACCTGCCTACAGACATGGAAACAATCTTTAGAGTCAGGTTTCCACCCAATGCTACCTTAACGCTACCGGCATCTTCCCAGGCATGTCTACACCAGTGTGTGTCGTTATGGTGTCTGTCTGTGTCATTGTCTACTGATATCATTACAAATGGCAGTTCAGCCTTGTCTTTAGCAGCCTTAGCCATATTTGACTGGGGTGTAGTGCATAGATAGTTTGGATTTGCATCTTTTTCATACAGCTTTTCGAGGTTGATAATACTTAATATATGGGTCGCAGGGTGATCTCGATCTATGTAAGCTTCTGTGATACAGAAAAGCTCTTCGTTTACACTCACTGAAATATCAGGACTTGACAAACCTATTCCGAGCCGGTATCTGACATGCCACGTCATCAATGGAGATGCAGGATCATCAAAAGGAGGAGATCTGTTCCCGCTCACTTCAAGAAGCTGCAGCATTTGAAGCGCCATCATAGTATCGCTTGACAGACATGTTAACGCATTCCTGCTCAAGTCTAGTGTATGTAGCCTTAACAGTGATTCAAAAGCGTCTTGTGGGATGCTTTTTATTGAGTTTGATTTTAACGACAGTTTGCCTAATCCGTTTAACCCATGAAACCAAAACGGCCGGATATTTTGTAAAGTGTTACCGTCAAGTAGCAATGCCTGCAAGGACGTGAGGTTTTGGAAGCACTTTGGATCGATGCTATTTATGTGGTTGTGTGACAGGGACAGCGTTCTTAACCTTCTGGGGAACATCACGCCATCAAACCAGTTTCGCTTCACGTGAGTCAGGTTGTTAAAGTCCAGGTATAAGTTCATTAGTTGAGGAAATGCAGCGAAAGTGCCCTGTTCTAAATCCGTGATGCCACATTCTAGAAGGGAGAGCTCAATGATCTTATTATTCTTAGGTGGTCGCAGTTTTGACAGAATCCCAAACGTGAACCCTCTAACCCCCACTAGTGGTTTGTCAGGGAGACATGTTGAGGCTGGCTGAGATGTGTTAGCATGTTGTTGTTGTTGTGATGTGTTAGTATGTTGTTGTTGTTGTTGTTGTCTTTGTTGTGAGGTGCATAAGACGCAAGCGCTGTCAAAGCGCTGACGTGGAGGTACTCTATATGGAACGCAGGGTCGCCATGATTTTATAGTCTCGCACCCAGGAAAACATGCCGTATCTAAACCTGTGCATCCTACCAATATTGCTAGAACAAATAATTCCTTTAACATGCTAGACATTAAACGTTGAGTTAGAATAAAGTAAAAGTAAAACAGAACAAAATGTCTTCTTCTTGTGCTGTCTTTACTGACTGCAGCGTGAAGCGGCTGTCTTAGCCTCGGTAGTCAACTGCTGCAGTTTGAGGCTGCTTGACCTGAAGTAATATATGCAAATTACTATTGTCATTAATTATAATACCCGATTCCGATTACAGCATTAATTTTATTATGCTCGCGCGTCCCTGAATATGTATGTTTTTGGGATATTTCTCGTGCATCACACCGCAGCTATACGCAACGAATGCGGAAGTAACTACGTCAATGCAGAGCAATTATATCAATGGTTTAGAACCTGATTAACCCTCAAACAACCGAAGTTTTTTTTGAGTGGCGTTAATTTGGCTTCTTTCAAATTAATATTCCTTTTTTCATCGTTTCAGTGACCTTTGCACATATATTGGTTAAACATATTAAGACGTTTATTTGGCATGATTAACCCTAAACAGTACACCTGGGGTCCGCGCGGACCCCAGCACTATATATTCTGTAATATCTTTTTTGTATCTGAAGATTTTTTTCTGAAATTTTAGGTAATTGTCACCCACAAAGTTGTCTCTCAATACAGTGCAGAAAACTCCGTTTCTACCATTTATAAAAAAAAATTATATATGATTTTCTTTTGGGGTCCGCGCGGACCCCAGCCGGCTTTCGATCATAATGGATACACTGGCGTTCTTATACATTACCTTATTTCCGTTTTTATATGTTTTTATGCAGTCATGGTATGTCTACCAAGTTTTCAGAGAATGGTGTAGTAATAGAATTAAATTTTAATAACTTTGGTGTAATTATGACGTCATATGATGTCAGAGCTAATAATATAGTCCGCCTTATTGGATTTTGACCAATGACGTCATCAAATTAGCATATTCTATGCATATTAAATGATTTAACTGATATTTAATTATGTAAGATGTTATTAATGTTGAAAAGAAGTGTAATTTAATATAAAACTCAGAAATTTTATGTTTAAACCAAATCACTTCTATTTCAAAAAGAAACCCGTTGCCATGGCAACACAAAAAACATCAACTTACTAGTATTAAACTAATATGAACTTTTTTCCAAAAACATTTTAGGAAAGGTCTCCAAATTTGATACTTCTAGCGCAAGCCGTTTAGCCGCTATCTGCGATCAAAGTTGGGCCTCAAAAGCCCCTTCAGTCTGAAATGGGATTAAAAATCGGGTATTTCTTCTTGTCTTCTTGTCTTCACCAAAAAATAGAAAAAGTTCAAAACGTATGATTTTTGTATGTAATGTGGACACAGAGGTTCCCACATCAGTTTGCAAAACAATTGAGCTGGTTGCATGTTGATAATTTCTAAAATTAGCAAAAAACTGTTCTGGGGTCCGCGCGGACCCCAGGTGTACAGATTAATCAGTCCGGGAAGGTGTACTGTTGAGGGTTAAGTGTTAAAAAAATTACAGCTCAGTATCATAATTTATGCAAAAAATATGATGAGGCCTGCAGGCATAAACATGGGTTGACCTTTGACCTCATATGATTGAAATTTGTCAAACCTCTGAAAACCTGATGAAATAATTCATTAGGTTGAGGTTACTTGGCAAACTGCATAATATGGAAGCAATAATGCTTGCTGAAGACACATGAATATTGAGGACATCCGAACAATTTCGTGTGTAGGAAAGTGCAAATACATGGCTGAGGTCCGTTTGGACCCCAGACGGTCTTACATATGACTTCCGTTGTTATTTTTAAAAATTTGTACCGATCTCTAAACAAATTAGGAGAACTTGTAGAAGAGGTTTACAGACAAAGTCACGTGAGGAATTTTAAAAGAAAAAATCAAATAGCACATAAGAATATACATCTCGGGTCCAAATGGACCCCGTTCGGGTGTTTGAGGGTTAAGACAATAAATTATTTGAAATTATATTGCAAAATGTCATCAGGACAGGGGTTAAATTATTTCCCTCAAAAGTTACTTTTCGGGATAAATCTCAAATCATGCATCCAATTATGCCAAACAAACACCATAAGTTTTAAATAAAATTATGCTGAAATTATTTGAACTGAACCCCTGCACTTAAATAAATAGACGAATATCATAATATTTAAAGCGAGTGCTAAACCAATAAGTAAATAAATGAATCGATGAAAACACAGATATGTTTTAAACTATTTCTGTCAATTTTTCTTCGGTGCCATTTGTTAATGTATGATGCCAAATCGCCAATTTTATATTCCTGACTCGATGTTAAAATGCATGTATCTATTTAGAAAATAAATGTATAAATGGATTACACCTGGATGGATGTCTGACTACTGAAGTTATGAATGGTTGGTCGGGTAGCTGATTAAATGAATAAATGAATTTAGATCATCAAACCTCCCGTATAAAATGATCTATTGAACGAATGGTTAGACAACTGAAAAAATAGTTATGGCGCGTGCATTGCACACCCACGCCTGCATTGATTGTTCCCTAATTTAAAGCATAAAGACAAAAAATGTTTCCTCATCACCGCTGCAAAAGAAAAGATAGCGAGAGAAAGAAAGATAATAATAAGAAAAATAGAAAAAGGAAAGAGAAAAAAGATAAAAGAATAAAAGAAACGAAAAAAGGTTCATTTCCAAATTGACACGAACATAAAACAACATTGCAGCCTTGTGTGTTTCAGGGAACACACAATTGTGCAAAATATCATAAATA